AAAAAAGTATTTCATCTTTTTAAGGATGATTACATATTGATTTCCAGTTGACTTTTAGTACTTTTCTGTTACCCAAAATAAGCATTCATAAACACCTATAAAATCTATATTATATACATGTTTCTCTGCTAAAAGATATGTTTTATATTTTATTCCTATTTTCCTTTAATTTAAAATTACCCTGATTTTTCAAAACCTCAGTGAGATACCACCTCACACCAGTCACAACGGCTAAAATTAAGTCAGGAGATGACAGATGTTGGCGAGGATGCAGAGAAAGGGGAACCCTCCTACAGTGTTGGTGGGAATGCAAGCTGGTGCAGCCACTCTGGAAAACAGTTTGGAGGTTCCTCAAAAAGTTGAAAATAGAGCTACCATATGACCTGGCAATTGCACTACTGGGTATTTACCCCAAAGATACAAATGTAGTGATCTGGAGGGGTACATGCACCCCAGTGTTTATACCAGCAATGTCCACAGTAGCCAAACTATAGAAAGAGCCAAGATGTCCATCAACAGATGAATGGATAAAGATGTGGTATTATATACATACATACATACAATGGAATATTATGCAGCCATCAAAAAACAAAATCTTGCCATTTGCAACCACGTGGATGGAACTAGAGGGTATTATGCCAAGTGAAATAACTCAATCAAAGAAAGACTAGTATCATATGATTTCAGTGATATGAGGAATTCTTAATCTCAGGAAACAAACTGACGGTTGCTGGAGTGGTGGGGGCTGGGCAGGAGGAATGGGGTGGCTGGGTGATAGACACTGGGGAGGGTACGTGCTATGGTAAGCGCTGTGAATTGTGTAAGATTGATGAATCACAGACCCGTGCCTCTGAAACAAATAATACATTATATGTTAAAAAAGAAGAAGAAGAAGAAGATAGTAGGAAGGGGGACAATTAAGGGGGGGAAATTGGACCAGGAGACAAACCGTGAGAGACTATAGACTCTGAGAAACAAACTTGAGGGTTTTAGAGCGGAGGGGGCTAGGGGGATGGGTTAGCCTGGTGATGGTTATTAAGGAGGGCGTGTATTGAATGGAGCACTGGGTGTTATACACAAACAATGAATCATGGAATACTACATCAGAAACTAATGATGTATGGTGACTAACATAATAAAATAAAATTTAAAAAAAATTACCCTGATTTTTAACTGATCCTGGCTTCATATTGATTTTAGGATGTGTTGGGTACAGCAGCCACTATATGGCCCTAGAGAAGAGATGTTATTTAAATTTTTTTGTTCTGGGTCTTTTTTATGGTCTTTAAGAATAAACACTTTATCAGATATTCTTATAGAGCTTTTTACTTCTTGCTTCACTTGGAACCAAAATCTCTCACTTCAGTGCTCATGTACGCATGTGGCCAAAACTGTTCAATATATTTTATCTGCTTCACAAATAGTTGGAAGGAATGTAATTTTTTCATTTAGATCTCCATTGTGTTACCCATAATGACATGTCTAAATTGTTCCCCTGCAAGTAGACTATGGATACCCTTTCATGTCTCAAAGAACCAACACATGCCTCAAAGAACTCAAGAGTCTCTTTTCACTGTGATCATTTAGTATAGGTTGCAGATCAGTTAATATAGGTTACATCGTCAAGAGTTCTGCCAGCTCCAGCCACCTGAGACTTGTGTTACCGTACTTTACTGAGGTCATGTCATCCTTGTCAACATTGGTCTCACCTGCAGAAGCACGTACTCTCTGAAGCATATTGCTTGGGTTAAGAAATAGCTAACTTTGGGTGCCTGGGTGGCTCAGATGGTTAAGCGTCTGCCTTCGGCTCAGGTCATGATCCCAGGGTCCTGGGATCGAGTCCCGCATCGGGCTCCCTG